AAAATAGTAAGATCTGTGAAAATATATTGAGCGGATTAATTTGTACAGCATAGAAGTGACGTATTTACATACCAAAAATATTTCACGGTCCGTTTAACTATACAGTGAAAGTTTTTGTTTTTACATTTTATTATTTTTTATTTATTTTATTATTTTTTTTATCGGGTCCATATTTTTGGTCGTTTGGTTTGTAATTCCACGAGTGTTGGTAGTCACCATACGACGATAGAGTTGATTGATGTAGTTAGCTGTTCGAGTGTAAGGCCGAAAATAAAATGCTAGAACACTCTGTAAAGAGAAAGAAATCTAACAAGGTTAGTAACTGTAAAAGCGGCTACTGCCCACAAACTAAATCAAAAGGGTAAATACCATGAAAAATGAATGTAAACTGCGACAAAGAAAGAAAAAAAATGAGAGTATGAACTACTTTTGTACATAAGTGTTTAGTTAACGAATTCGCAGTATCGCTTAGGCCAGTGCACACGCCGACCGGCGCGTGTAACTGTTGCCTTACTTGTCTCATCCGAGGAACTGCTAGGTTTAGCAGGATTTTTGACCATCGGACTTGGCTGGGGTGTGAGTGCGGGCGTAGTTGCTGGTTGCGTAGGCGTGAGGGGTACCGAGTCTTCAATGTAGGCCGCTTTAAGTCTGTCGACACTTACGGTGTCTTGCCGGCCAAATCGATCAATAACAAAAAATTTTTCTTTTCTACTGACGACCTTGAATGGTCCATCGTAAGGAGGTTGTAAGGGTCTACGGACGGTGTCGCAACGCACAAAAACGTGTGTACAGCCATCGAGTCTAGCGTCTACTTGCACTCTCTTGTTTTGTGTGCGAGTGGGAGTTGGTTGCAGGCGTTGCATAAGGCGCTTGAGGTTCTGAGCATAACCCTGTACATCCGTAGCACCTGGTTCACCACTTTCAGGTGAGATAATTTCACCCGGTAGACGGAGGGTGGTACCAAACACCAACTCTGCGGAAGTGCACTGTAAGTCTGCTTTGAGTGTGGAACGGATACTAAGTAGCACTAGGGGAAGAGACTCAGTCCACTTAGTATTCTCTGTAGCCATTGACGAAGCTTTCAGTTGACGGTGAAAACGCTCCACAAGTCCATTTGCTGCTGGATGGTACGCGGTTGTTCGGATGCGTTTGCACCCCAGTAGCTCTAAGAGCTTCTTGAAGTGGGTTGATTCAAACTGCTGTCCACGGTCTGTAGTCACCGTAGATGGACATCCGAATTGCGCTACCCAGCGTTCCATGAACACTCGGCAAATAGTTTCCGCAGTCGTATCGGGGATGGGAATAGCTTCTGGCCAACGAGTGAAACGGTCGACACATGTCAACAAATAACAGTGGCCATTTGATGGTGGTAGAGGACCCACTATGTCTAGATGAACGTGGCTAAAGCGAGCATCGGGTGTGGAGAAGGAACCCACTGGGGTGATGTTGTGTTTGTGTACTTTAGCTCGTTGACACGGCACACAGGCACGTGCCCAGATACGCACGTCTCGACTGATACCAGGCCAGACAAATCTAGCTGACACTAGTTTGTCCGTTGCCCGGATACCTGGGTGGGAAAGGTTGTGTAGGCTATCAAAAACTGTACGGCGCAATGAAGGTGGAACGATGGGTCTCGGGGTACCGGTGGACAGATCGCAGAGGATGGTACCCTCGCTATTAACGAGCGGTATACGCTGGATATGTAAGGAGGTATTTGACGACAGCTTATCAAGATCTAACTCTGTAAGCTGACGTTGCGCCATTTGTTTCAAGTCAATGGTTGGAGGCGCCGACATGGCACATATCCGAGACAAGGCGTCTGCCACAGCATTGTCAACCCCCGAAATATGTCTAATATCCGAAGTGAATTGAGAGATATAATCCAAGTGACGCAGTTCGCGTGGGGAATATCTATCCGTAGTAGTGTGGAGGGCATACGTCAGTGGCTTGTGATCGGTAAATACTGTGAATTTCCGACCTTCAACAAAATGGCGAAAATGTTTGATAGCCGCGTATATGGCGAAGAGTTCTCTGCCAAAGGTGCTATACCTCGCTTCAGCGGAGGACAACTTCCGGGAGAAAAAGGCAACTGGTATCCATGAAGTATGTACCAGTTGCTGTAGAACAGCTCCAATGGCTGTGTTAGATGCGTCAACTGAGATGCTAAGTGGAAGATGGACGTCAAGGTGGACTAGCATGGTGGCGTCTGCAATTGCTGACTTTATATTCTGGAAGGCTTCTCGAGCCTCTGATGTCATGCTGAACGTTTTGTTCCTACCCTTTAGTAGGTCTGTGAGCGGCAGTAAAATATGTGCACATTGGGGAACGAACCGTCGATAATAGCTCACCATGCCGAGAAATGTGTGTAAAGATTTCATTGACGCAGGTTCCGGGAAGTCGCGTATTGCCTGTACCTTCTCAGGTAGCGGGCGAATTCCCTGATCATTAATGACATGTCCCAGAAAGGTCAATGAATGGACGCCAATCTGACATTTGGACATGTTTAGTGTCAAACCATGGGCTGTTACCCGCTCGAAAACCATCTGGAGATGCGTACGGTGGCTAGCTTCGTCTGGGCTAGCCACGAGAATATCGTCGAGGTAAGCATGTGCGCAATCTAATCCTCGCAAAACATCGTGAATAAACCGCTGGAATGTTTGTGCGGCGTTGCGGAGTCCAAACGGCATTCGAAGAAATTCGAAAAGACCAAACGGGGTGATCACTGCCGTCTTAGGAATATCATCTGGGTGAACTGGAATCTGGTGATAGGCCCTGGTTAAGTCCAGTTTACTGAATACCGTGGCACCCTTGAGAGACGACGTAAGGTCATGAATATGTGGTACGGGGTAACGATCAGGTACGGTCTGTGCGTTAAGCCTGCGGTAGTCACCACAAGGCCTCCAATCTATCCCGTTAGTCTTTGGTACCACGTGTAAAGGGGAAGACCACGGGCTGCTGGAAGGACGGATTATCCCCATCTCTAACATGTGTTCGGATTCAGCCTTCACGGCTTGTAGTTTTTCTGGGGACAATCGCCGTGGCTTAGCGAAGACCGGTGGACCAGTGGTCACGATATGATGAGTGACAGTAGACGTCACACAAGGAAGTTTAGAAACCGGTTTGAACAGATTGGCAAAGGACTGAAGAACTTCAGCGTAAGGGCCGTTAGAGGCAGGGGTTGAGTATACTGGGCTTAATGCAGGTGTGTGTGTCACAACACCGGAGATCGAAAGGCTTGTAGCTGAATCGATCAGTTTGTGTTTGCCAGTATCAACCAGTAGCTGATAGTGTTGCATGAGATCCATGCCAATAATACCGGTAGTTACATCTGCTACAAGGAAAACCCAGCGAAATGACCTACGTAGGCCTATGTTAAGGTCCAGGAACTTTTTGCCATACGTTGTGATTGGCGAACCGTTTGCGGCGCGAAGCTGTAAGGAAAGTGGCCGCTTGCGCTCTTCAGATGTTGGTGGGATCACGCTAACTTCCGCCCCAGTGTCAACTAGGAAGCGTGTCCCAGTGGTACGGTCGGTAACATAGAAGAGGCGACATGGAAGTGGTTCGCCAGCGACGTTAGTCGCCAATACGTGCTGGCTTACAGGTTTCCCGATTGCTGGCCATCAAAGGTGCACGGGCGAGTGCACTTTTGGGCCTTATCACCATAACGCCGGTGATACCAGCACACTCCAGGCTGGGAATTTTTAGGCCTACGACGTCTGCTGCCAGCTCGTGACGAAGATCTGCCACGAGTCGAGCTGGTGCGGCTATGTGAACGACCTATGGATCTCCTATCGAGTTTTAACTTTCCTATCTCTTCGTACAGCTTATTGAGGTGAGCCACCACATCAACGTTGGATGACTCCACGGCAGAGGAGGTCCTAGTCTGCGTGGAACTAGCGGTAACAGCAGCCGAGATATTCGTGTTTGATGTAGTAGTCTCTACTACTCTATCGGCTGCCTCAGCTAGCTCAGATAAGGGGGAATGGTTGATTGGGGCTAAAATAGTCTGAATCGTCTGGGGTAACCGTTGTAACCACAGCTGTTTCAAGAAGGCATCATCTATTTTGAAGTCGGCCACCAACTGCCTCATTTGACGTAACAGTTGGGTGGGCTTTCTATCACCTAGGTGAACATCTCGGAATAGCTCCTGCACCTTCTGTTGTTCGGTAAGTGCCACGCGCTTAATAAGCGCCTGCTTGAGACGCTCGTACAAGCCCGGGGATCGGTCCGCAAGGACATCAGATACATCTTCCATGACGTGCTCAGGAAGACTTACTATAACTAGGTTCACTTTAGTCTCCTGTGAGTGTATATTTCGAAGTGCGAACATAGCTTCGATGTGTTCGAAACATCGGGCAGGATGCTGAGTCCAGAAGGTGGGGAGTTGCAAGGTAATAGCCATTTCTGAGGCGGGACTGGCGTCAGTCATTTTGCACACGGGACGATATATTAATAAAATGACAACAAATATGATAACAAAAAATATGAGTAAAAACAAGGCAAATAAAATTTATAACTCCGAATGAAAAACAAATTACCAATATGAAAAAGGACTATTTACACTTTAGGCTACTAAGTAGGCAAACGGATCACGTCGGGCTCACCACTTGTAGGAGTTAGATCTAGGGTTTACTTCTACCTGACAATAACCACTCTTACAAAACTCCTTCACCGTTTATAACCTTAATTAGTACTCTGCCTACGTGCAAGTACTAAAGAACGGAATCAAAGTTAGTAGACTCGAAACGGCAAGTTTAACTGGACCGGAATTATATTTACACAACGAGATATGCAATTTGATAAGAAATAAAAAATACACACTTATCTGGAGGTGAGACGGCTGTCGGCTCGTAGAGTGTACTAGGTGAAAGTACAGCGAGAGAGCGAGACAGTAACCGTACAGGAGGAACCGGAGTACAAAGCGGAAGTGGAAGTGAAGTTAAACATGTCAGGTTGCATTCATTCAAACAAAAGTTCAAAGGTACAATGTACACTACACCTGTATGCCACAGCTTGTGTATAAACTCTCTGAAAACAAGCTTATGGTACGACTTCTCTACTTCAGTAGGACATCTAACTGTATAAATCAGAATAACAGCATAAATAAGTATTATCATGCTTTTTTCTCTCTTCTACATATTTTATGTACTTTGGGATTTGGATTTAACTCCTTCAATTTCTATTCCCATTACCCTATACACGTGTGAAAATCATCATTCGTTTTGCCCTAATATTTTTTATTTTGTTATTCTATATTCTTTTTGTTGTTGTTTAATACCATAAACTTGAATTAACTGTAAGTATGTAACACTATAAAACTCAATTACTCTAAATTCTTAGTAACAAAAAGGGGAATAAACTCTGCGGTTATCGCATTTTGTTTGCTTAAATTATTATTATTTGCTGACTGACTCTGTACCTCTCTTTCTGTTTTCTTCTTTCTTCTCTTCTCGAAGGTATCGCATTGAAGCACTGCAAATGAACAGTAATGCTGCTTTCTACGTTTGTATTACTTGAGAGTTATTCAGAATATTGTTGACACATACGATGAACAACGGAACAAATTCCATTCTGAATTCTGTTTATCATGGCAAAGTCGGTCCCCTGTGTCTGTTAATACCAAAATAATGCTGTACTTACCCTCTACTGTGGAGTTTTATACATTTTTGAACCCTTATTAATTGATAAAATGATAATGATCACAAGGCCTGTATCTTGTGTGTCTTACTCTAGCACCTGTGTACCACCTCTCTTTTTACCTTCCATTAACGCAACATTTCGTAATTCCTGCATGAATTTGACTGACTATAAGTATGTTATAGATTATAATTTAGACTTGAACCAATATATTGTAATCTATTCTAATAAAGTTTCTAGAGGTTTTTTCCCATCTTTCCAGTTTTTAATGTCACAAAACAGTGTTCCATTTCAAATTGCACTTGTCAGATATGATCATGCCCGTACAAACGGTATGTCAATCACGTAAATGCTTAATTTATGTGAAATATATATGCATTATTATCTCCGACGTTTATTGTTTTGCATCCACCAGCCTTTATTCCTAATGTGGTCAGATTGCAGTGAAGTCTATCTGTCCATTATGCTGTCATTACCCTGCTGGAGATCGATCAGCACTAGATGATAGTCTTCAGTGCCACTAATGACATCATGATAGCCACTCCTTGAAGTGTACTCGTCGTTATGGTCTGAGTGATTGGAGTAGATAATTGACTGCACATTTAAAAATTTACACAGTCCACTTCCACTCCGTTTACTTTCACACCTTCCTGGCATTTCTGTACCACATCTTCTCATTTACTCTGCAGTCTATGCAACCTTCCCAGCCTCAAAGATTAGTAAGGTAATCCATGTCGTCGAGGTTATTTTCACTCATTACAAGACACATCGGCTTACTGGCTTCCCGAAGTATATGACCAGCCTGTGTCATTTTCTCTCTCCGATCTCAGAAGAATATAACTTTATTTTAATGTTTTTGCTGTACCTTAGAGTTTCTGTAGCAACTGGATTGATTTTTCGCGGTCGGATCGCTAGCCTTACACCCAACCTTCCAGGTTCTACGAGGCTTGGGACCAGCTAGTAAACTAGTGGAATGAGTAAGGTTATAGACTTCATTAATGTAAATATATATGCAATATATAATAATATCCTCGCCCAGTGTTTCCTATATGAGTCATTATGCATCAGAGGAAAGTTGTATAATAAACAATGAACGAATACAAAGGGATGCTATACTTGTGGAGTGCGTAACAATGTGATTGTACTCTTTTCGGTTATTTGTAGAAATTAGACATATTGTACATAATTTTTGTTTAAAACGCTTCTTGTTGAAATACCCTTGGCTTCCGTGTACATTTTGGAAAATACACTCTGCTGTTGGAGACTTCGTCTTCTCCTCGGTTTCTTCGGCTTACTAGCTCAGCTCTCACCGTGTTGTATCTTTCGGATTTATTGTAGAAATCCACTACGCTCAACCGAAGACACTTATACAACCGGAACACAGCAGCTACAACCTACTCCGTCCAAACAATTAACGTCTCCGTGGGATATATAAATAGTTTGTAGCAGAGGACTTAAACCTTATTTCCAAGTAACCCTTTTGTTGATATAACGTGTCGTTACATTTTTGGTAATATACTGCTACTTAACATTCCATTGACTTGAATTTTATTTCTCATATTTCGTAATACTAGTGAACTCTAACATAAGTCCCCTACAAATTAATTGGTGAGCCCGTTTTGGAACACGGATTATTTTCACGTATCTATATACTTATTTTTGCTATTTTGTACTTTCATTGCAATTTTTTGTTGGTGGTTTCATATTTGTATTCCCCTTTGAATCAATATTCTCACACCTATAATGTCGTCACCAATACTCGCCGCCATTGCAGACTTAGCGGCAAGGCTTGACAAGTTGGAAACACCTAGATCTGATCGACGAGTCGAGAGGCGGAGTTCACAAGCACGGTCACAATCACATAGACGATCTCACTCCCGACAGCGTTCCCGCATGTCTTCTAGGGACAGCAATATATGTTGGTATCATAGGAAGTTTGGACGTCATGCCCTGAAATATGTCAAACCGTGCATCTTTAGTGAAGAGAATCAGGCTCAGGGGAAACGTCTCAGCCAGACAGTGATGGCGACAGCTGTCACTGGCAACCATTCAAGTCGCCCTTTCTACGTGAGGGACAAAACGACAGGCACATTATTCCTGGTAGACACAGCAGCCAAAGTTAGTGTAATACCTCCTTCACTCTCCAGGCGGTTTTCTAGCACACCTGCAAAACTTTCACTTCGAGCAGCTAACCAAACTAGCATACGGACTTACGGTGAACAATCACTTATTTTGGATCTTGGTTTACGTCGTCGATTCACATGGATATTCATAGTAGCCGACGTTAGTCATGCCATATTGGGTGCCGATTTTTTAAGCAATTTCAATCTGCTGGTTGATGTCAACAAGAAAAAGCTGATTGATAACTGCACCCAGCTTCAAGTCCACGGAATCATCTCAAACTACTCTGTTTATAACATATGCCAGATGACTGTATGTTTTCTGCATTACTGCATCGTTTCCCAAAAATTTTAAAGCCATCTTATATTATCGAAGATGTTCCTCATTCTGTCACGCATAAAATTGTCACAAATGGTCAACTCGTCAGAGCACGTCCTCGTCGACTACCACCCGACAAGTTAGCAGCAGCCAAAGCTGAATTCGAACACATGATGCAATTGGGCATCATCCGGCCATCCAACAGCCCATGGTCCTCACCATTACATATGGTGCCAAAAGCTGAGCATGATTGGCGACCGTGTGGGGATTACCGACGTTTGAATAACGCCACTGTCCCAGATCGTTATCCCATTCCGCACTTGCATGATTTCTCTCTAGCACTGCAAGGTAAAACTATTTTCTCCAAAGTGGATTTAGTCAGAGCTTATCATCAGATACCAGTCGCTCCTGAGGACATCGAGAAGACAGCTATTATAACACCTTTTGGCTTGTTTGAATTCTTACGAATGCCTTTCGGACTGAAAAACGCTGCACAAACTTTTCAGCGCTTCATGGACCAAGTCACGCGGGGCCTTGACTTTGTGTTCGTTTATATCGACGACGTACTAATTGCTAGCAAGTCGGAAGAGGAACATAAGAATCATCTTAGCACTTTGTTTCAGCGTTTCGAACAGTATGGTGTCGCTATAAATCCTAAGAAGTGCATTCTCGGTGCCTCTTCTATTCAATTTTTGGGACACTACATAACTGCCAAGGGAATCAAGCCTACTGAGGAAAAGATAGATACAATAAAAAACTTCCCGGCCGATAACTGCTACCT